CTCAGGGCCGAGCGCACCCCCCCACACACACACCTTCCCCCTCCCCCGCCCGAGCCCCCGGAAGCGAGGGGAGCCACTACCTCTGGCCGGAAGTGCGCCGCGCCAGGCGAAGCCGGGAGGAACCCGTGGGCGGCCTGCCCGTGACGTCACCGCCGGACCCGCCCCTCGCCCCGCCCCCTCGCCGGCGCCCAGGCGGTTGCCGAGAGGGCGGGAGGCCTCCCTCCGCGGACTCTCTATGGTTTCCCGGCGCGCCCTTGGTAGGGTGGGGGGAGGGCCCGGGTGGCGTACTGGAGCCGAGGAGAGAACCAGTTTTGGGAGTCCGCCGGCACCTTGAGGACTCCAGCCAGGGTTCAGTTCTGGGTGTGCGGTTTCCCCCCGTGCATGCCTCCTCTGAATGGAGGGGTCGGGAGGAGCGTGTGCCTGCCAGACGGGAGCTGATCCCCAGAATGGAATACAAGACAAGAACTCCTTGTGGGCACTCCATGAAATGGCTGAGCGGTCGGGTTAGAACGGATAAGAGGAAGTCCTTCTTCACCCAAAGAGTGGTTAACCCATGGAACTCACTGCCACAGGAGGTGGCGGCGGCTACAAGCATGGACGGCTTCAAGAGGGAATTAGATAAGCATATGGAGCAGAGGTCCATCAGTGGCTGCTAGCCAGAAGGTATAGATAGGGGCTGCGGTGGGTCAAGGGGTTCAGTTAGGACGCTGAACTGCAGGTTCGAGACCTGGGTGCCGCATGACGGAGTGAGCTCCCGTCTCTAGTTCCAGCGCCTGCCAAACTAGCAGTTCGAAAGCAAGAAATTGAAAGTAGATAAATAGGGACCACTTCGGTGGGAAGGGAACAGCATTCCATGCGCCTTGGTTGTGAGTCATGCCAGCCACATGACCACGGAAACGTCTTCGGACAGCACTGGCTCTTCGGCTTGGAAACGGAGATGAGCACCGCAACCCAAGAGTCGGTCTCGACTGGCTTTCGAGCAAGGGAACCTTTACCTTTACTGGCACCTTGAGGACCAGCCAAGGTTCAGTTCTGGGTGTGAGGCTTCCCATGCATGCCTCCTCTGAATGAAGGGGTCGGGAGGAGCTGTGCCTGCCAGACGGGAGCTGATCCCCAGCAATGCTCCCTCTAAGCTATGGAGTCGTGTGAGCAAAAATTCTACTTTGTGAGCTACTGGCATTAGAGTTGTGACTGAGAGATTTGGCTACTGCATAAATTAGGCTTCTCTGGAGCCCTCCTTTCTGAGCTAAGATGAAAATGTGTGAGCCGGAGGCTAAAAAACTGTGAGCTAGCTCACGCTAACTCAGCTCAGAGGGAACACTGATCCCCAGAATGGAATTTTGACGGCCTTAAAGGTGCCAGTTGGACCCAGCCTGTTCAGGTATCTGAAGGAGGTTGCATGCACGCGAAAGCTTATACCCAGAATTAAACTTGGCTGGCCTTAAAGGTGTCACTGGACTCTCAGCCTTAGTTCAGGTATCTGAAGGAGGTTGCATGCACACGAAAGCTTATGCCCAGAATTAAACTTGGTTGGTCTTAAAGGTGTCACTGGACTCTCAGCCTCTGTTCAGGGATCTGAGGAAGTATGTGTGCACACGGAAAGCTCGTACCCAGAATTAAACTTCGTTGGTATTCAAGGTGCCGCTGGACTCTCAGACTTTCTTCTGCTACGGCTACCCACTTGAAGCCAAGTATAGGGCTACCGCATTCTGGAAAGCAAAACGAGGACATATTCCCAACTGACTACTTCAAACAAGTGATCATGATGACAAATCTCATTTTAGGTACCTCTCCTATTGAAGCTGTGATAATTGCTACTAACTAATAATAATAATAATATACTACTTTATTGTCATTGTACATAGTACAACAAAAATTAAAGATGCAATCATTTTGGTGATCTGCAACAATATATACATTCACAGCTGTCTCATAACTCCCTTAAGGTTCACAAGCAACTTAAAATCACCAATGTCACCCAGATTCCAATTTCATACAGCATTTAAGGCAGTAATAGCTCTAGAATAAAAACTATTTTTAATCTGTTTGTCCTTGTTTTAATTGTCCTATATCTTCTGCCTGAAGGCAGCAGTTCAAACAGGGAACGTTCAGGATGTGACAAATCCTGCAGAATGTTCTTTGCTTTTTTCAAACATCGAGAGCTATACAATTCCTCCAGGAATGGGAGAGGACAGCTGATGATCTTCTGGGCTGTGATGACAACTCTCTGGAGTGCTCTCCTCTCCACAGCCATACAACTGGCACACCAGGCACAGACTCTGGAGTGCTTTCCTCTCCACAGCCATACAACTGGCAAACCAGGCACAGACGCAATATGTTAAAATGCTCTCTATTGAGCAACGATAGGAGGACATCAATGTTTTCTCACTCAAGTTATTTTTCTTTAAAAGTCTGAGAAAAAAGAGCCTCTGCTGGGCCTTCTTCACCAGAGCAATGGTGTTAGTGCTCCAGGTCAATTTTTGCTCAATAGTCACTCCCAAAAACTTAAAAGTAGCCACCCTCTCCACTCGTTCTCCACCAATAACCAGTGGCTGGGATATTCCTAACTTTCTGAGCCAAAACGAGAACCTTTTCATCAGTTTTTTTTTTAAAAAGAGCCCTAAGGAGGATGGACACCTGAAAAAGAGGACAGGTACTCTAAAAAGTGGCCACCTGGTAACCCTAATACAGTAGAAAGAGCGAGAGTCCAGTAGCACCTGAAGGTATCTGAAGAAGTGAGTGCTGACTCATGAAAGCTCCTCCCCTGCCCCAAATGTTCTTAGTCTTTATGAGAAATTGATCGCATCTCTGCAATCTTTTTACGACATATTCTTGGATTACCTAACTCTGTTACCTGTTATTCCCTCTGTGCTGAGCTGGGTCTCCATCTTTTAGACTTGAGGGCGTGGATCACCACTCTTAACTGGCTTCACATCCATTTTAGTGCCCCTCTCAGAATAGCCTTATTGCACTCTTGCCTATGGATCCAAGTGGTCACAGGCTATATTTTCTAAAATACATTCAATTGGGATTGATCTGGACATCTTGGAAAATTAAGATGAGAATTTCATATACCGGACAATCCGTAGAAGAATTTGGGACATCGAATCCCAAATAATCCAGGTACTTGTTCCCCCTTTCCCTTGGCCTCAGTTATGTAGCAAACAGTCTGGCACAATACTTCTCTAACGTGGTGATCCTGCTGCAACGCAGAGCCTTTATGCTAGCCAGATTTAATGTTTTTCCCTCGTCTTGGGTCTCAGGTAAATATAGAGGTATCCCGAAATGTGACAGAATCTGTAATTGCTCATCTAGAGAATCCGACACTTTAGATCATATTCTGTTACGCTGCCCCCTTCATTCACATATCCGATTACTTTGGATTAAGCCCATACTGTCTAGGATTAACTCTGACATGCAATTCTATCTGATGAGTCACCAGAAGTTACTGCACAGATTGCTGTATTCGTCTCCAAGATTTTGGCAGCAAGGAACCATTTTTAATACTGATGTGTTTTAAGATTTGCAGGTGTAATGTTATTTTATTGATGAAGTCTTATTTATTATTTTATATGCCAATAAAGGTGTTGTTGTATGTATTGTTGTTAGTCTTTGTGGTGCTCTTGGACTCTTGCTCTTTTCTGCTTCTAGAGACAGACTGACACAGCTACCTTTTGTGTTGCAAGTCTCTTGAAGGGTTGCCAGAGCCCTGCCAGGGGCGGGGGAAATCCTGCTTTTGCGGGGTGCTTCCCCACTGCTGACCAGCTGGCTGGCAGGGGGGAAATCTCGCTCCCAAGTGGCCAGAAAGGTGATGTGATGATGTCACCTGGTAAAATTACCTACAAACCGTAGAGAAAACAGCTCTGAGAGAACTTGGGACTGAACCAAGGTCACACCAGCAGCTGCATGTAAAGGAGTGCAGGGGGTTGGACTAGATGACCTGCAAGGCCCCTTCCAACTCTAACATTCTATGATTCTATGAGTGGGGAATCAAACCAGGTTCTCCCAGATTAGAGTCCGTGCTCCTAACCACTATACCAAACTGGTTTGTTGTTCAGTCACACAGTTGAGTCCGACCCTTTGCGACCCCATGGACCACATCACGCCAGGCCCTCCTGTCTTCCATCATGCTCCGGAGTTTGCTTAATTTATTGTTCGTCGCCTCGATAACACTGTCCAACCATCTCATCCTTTGCCGTCCCCTTCTTCTTTGACCTTCAGTCTTTCCCAGCATCAGGGTCTTCTCCTCCAGTGAGTGCTCCCTTCTCATTGGGTGGCCAAAGTATTTGAGCTCCAGCTTCAGTATCTGGCCTTCCAGGGAACAGTCAGGGTTGATTTCTTTGAGGATTGACTGGTTTGATCTCCTTGCAGTCCAGGGGACTCTCAAGAGTCTTCTCCAGCACCATAATTCAAAAGAATCTATTCCTCGGCGCTCGGCCTTCCTTATAGTCCAACTCTCGCAGCCATACAGTACTACTGGGAATACAATCACTTTGACCATATGGACTTTTGTCGGCAGGGTGATGTCTCTACTTTTTAATGTGCTGTCTAGGTTTCCCATAGCTTGCCTCCCAAGGAGCAGGCGTCTTTTAATTTCATGGCTGCAGTGATCTTGGATCCCAGGAACGTGAAGGCTGACACTGCTTCTATAACTTCTCCTTCTGTTTGCCAAGGAGTGATGGGGCCGGATGCCATAATCTTAGTTTTTTTGATGTTGAGTTTCAAGCCAACCTTTGCGCTCGCCTCTTTTACATTGAGCAAGAGGCTCTTTAGGTCCTCTTCACTTTCTGCCATTAGAGTGGTATCGTCTGCATATCTGAGGTTGGCTCTGGTCCTTATATCTGCCAACAGAATAACCCAGGAATGGCCTAGTGGGAAAGAAGATTTCAGAACAAAGCAAAGAGTCCTCTGCAAGTGCTAACTTGAAGGCTTAATCTGAATTTAAATTGATATTGTGAACGACCCCAGGGCTTGCTCTCTCCTTTAATTACTGTCGCATTAAGGAAAGGCATACCTGAATGAAGGAATTATGCCTACTTCAGTACTTATGAGATTCGTTTACTTTCAATAACCAGTTCCTTAGTAAGCATTATTTAATGTTTTGGTTCCCACAGTCTCACTATGTATAAGACAGA